CATGGGATGAGAAGGTGTTCCCTCTGACCATGCATTTCCTTTGCTTCTGTTTTGCAGAGGCAAAAGATGCAGCGTTGGGTAAGTCTCCTTCCCTGAAGTGAGGGAATTCAGGGTCTCTCCCTGGCATCAGCCATGGGATGAGCAGCTGTCCCCTCTGACCACGCACTGCTCGGCTCTTTCTTTTCCAGCTGAACTACCTGCAATATTGGGTGAGCCTCCATTCCCTTTTTTTTTTTTTTTTTTTCAAATGCTCTTCCTATGTGAGCTGTGGCATGAGATGTTCCTCTCATCATGCACTGTTTCTGCTTTTCCTTTGCAGGTTTAAGTGCAGCAAATCTGAGTAAGTCTCCTTCCATAAACTAAAGGATTTTGGGGTCTTCGCATGGGATCAGCCATGGGATGAAAATATGACCCTTCTTATCATGAATTTCTTATTTGTTTCTTTTGCAGAGATTCTAGCTTCAAAACTGAGTGAGTGCTCCCTCCCCAGCTAGAAGTAAAATGGCTCTGTCAGTGTGAGCTGTGGGATGAGATGTTCCTCTCATCATGCGTTGCTTTTCTCTTTCTTTTCCAGTGAAACAAATGGAAAAATTGGGTGAGACATCTTCCCCAAAACAAAGGAATATGAGTTTCCCTTAGAATGACAAGCTGCCCCACCTCATCATGCCGTGCTTTTTCTTTCTTTTTTGCAGACATAAGGAATTCCCTGTTGAGTAAGTTGCAGTCACTAATGTGAGGGAATATGGGCTCTTCCCAAAGGACTGCGCAAGGGATGATAAATCCCTTCTGACCATGCACTGCTTTTCTCTTTCTTTGCCAGAAAAACAGTGTGAGAAGACGGGTGAGTCTCCCCTCCCAAAATAAAACCATTGCAGTTCCCCTGTGTGAGCTGTGGGATGAGCTGTTCCTCTCATCACGCGCTGTTTTCGCTTCTCCTTTGCAGATTTAAGTGCTGCAAATCTCACTGTTGCTCCCTCAGTACACTGAAGGAATTTGGGGTCTTCCCATGGGATCAGCCATGGGATGATCATCTGACCCTTCTCATCATGCATTTCTTAATTGTTTCTTTTGCAGAGATACTAGCTAAAGAAGTGGGTGAGTTCTCCCTCCCAAATCAAAGGGGTTCTGCCTGTGTGAGCTGTGCAATGGGATGTTCCTCTCATCATGCATTGCTTTTCTCTTCCATTTCCAGAGAAACACTGTGATGACATGGGTGAGTCTATCCTCCCATACTGAAAACTTTGGGGTCTTCCTATGGGAACTGTGGGATGAGATGTTCCTCTCATCACACATTGTTTCTGCTTTTCCTTTGCAGATTTATGTGGTGCAGATCTCAGTAAGTCTCCCTCCCTACACTGAAAGAATTTGGGGTTTTTCCATGGGATCAGCCATGGGATGATCATCTGACCCTTCTCACCACGCATTTCTGATTTGTTTCTTTTGCAGAGAAACACATTGTAGAACTGGGTGAGTGCTTCCTCCCAGACTGAAAGAAAAAAGGGCTCTGCCCGTGTGAGCTGTGGGATGAGAAGTTCCTCTCATCGTGCACTGCTCTTCTCTTTCTTTTCCAGTGGAACAAAGAGAATCAGTGGGTGAGTCTTCTTCCCCAAACCCAAGGAATGTGGGGTTTCCCATGGCATGACAAGTTGTCCCAATTCATCATGTGTTACTTTTCCTTTCTGGCAGA